AACAAAAAAAAGAAAGAAAGAAAGAGAAAGAACGAAAGAGAGAAAGAACGAACGAAAGAGAAAAAGAAAGAACGAATAAAGGAAAGAAAGAACGAAAGAGAAAGAACGAACGAAAGAGAAAAAGAAAGAAAAAACGAACAAAATAAAGAAGAGAGAAAGAACGAACGAGAGAGAAAAAGAACGAACAAAATAAAGAAAGAATGAGAGAAAGAACAAAGGATAGAGAAAAAGAAAGAAAGAAAGAACGAACAAAATAAAGAAAGAAAGAAAGAGAAAAAAGAAAGAATGAACAAAATCAAGAAGGAAAGAAAGAACGAAAGAGAAAGAACGAACGAAATAGAAAAAGAAAGAAAGAACGAACAAAATGAAGAGAGAAAGAAAGAGAAAAAAGAAAGAAAGAACGAACAAAATCAAGAAGGAAAGAAAGAACAAAAGAGAAAGAACGAACGAAAGAGAGAGAAAAAGAAAAAGAAAGAACGAACAAAATAAAGAAAGAAAGAACGAAAGAGAGAAAAAACGAAAAAAAGAAAGAGAAAAAGAAAGAACGAACAAAATAAAGAAAGAAGGAACGAAAGAAAGAACGAACGAAAGGGAGAAAAAGAAAGAAAGAACGAACAAAATAAAGGAAAGAAAGAACGAAAGAGAGAAAGAACGAACGAAAGAAAGAGAAAAAGAAAGAAAAAACGAACAAAATGAAGAAAGAACGAACGAGAGAAAAAGAACGAAAGAAAGAATGAACAAAATGAAGAAGGAAAGAAAGAACGAAAGAAAGAACGACCGAAAGAAAGAGAAAAAAAAAGAAACAAAACAAAAAAAATAAAGGAAAGAGAATGAAAGAGAAAGAACGAACGAAAGAAAGAAAAAGAAAGAACGAACAAAATAAAGAAGGAGAGAGAACGAATGAAAGAACGACCGAAAGAAAGAGAAAAAAAAAGAAAGAACAAACAAAATGAAGGAAAGAAAGAATGAAAGAGAGAAAGAACGAACGAAACAAAGAAAAAGAAAGAACGAACAAAATAAAGGAAAGAAACAACGAAAGAGAGAAAGAACGAATGAAAGAAAGAGAAAAAGAAAGAAAGAACGAACAAAATAAAGAAGGAAAGAAAGAACGAAAGAAAGAACGACCGAAAGAAAGAGAAAAAAAAAGAAAGAACAAACAAAATAAAGGAAAGAAAGAACGAAAGAGAAAGAACGAACGAAAGAGAAAAAGAAAGAAAAAACGAACAAAATAAAGAAGAGAGAAAGAACGAACGAGAGAAAAAGAACGAAAGAAAGAA